AGCCAGATGAACAAGAACTTCTGAGTTGGGAGTCTCAGAAGTACTACCAATCAGGCTACTAGAATAAACTGAAGGAAAAGGATATCAGGCCAACCTGATATACCGATAGACTGATTATAGTTCTATATAGGCTATCTGGATTAGGAGTTTGGTAAAAAGGCAGAGGAAAAGACAAGGATATACTAAAGTACTAGAGTTATGCTATGAAGTAGACGCTGGAGTCTAAGTGAACTCTACAAGAGCATAGCAGTTTAATGGTTAGCCCTGACCGCAAGTGTTAGTTCTGCTATAGCAATATCTAGATTAGCTGTAAAAATAGGTACAGAAGGCTCTGAGAGGTTTACTTTAAGGATGAATTAGTCCTAAGGTTGAGGATGATGATCTAGTACATCTAAGATAACCAGTGATGTTAACACAGATTACAGGTTCAGAGAGTTTAAAATAGAACATCCAAGCAGAGGTGTTAGGTATGGCAATTAGTAAGGAACCTTTAGGTGGACTCTTTAAATAGGTAATATAGAAAAGTTATATGTGTAGCCAATTGTATACTCTCCTGTATTAGTTCATTGAACCACAATACCAATAAGTAATTACTAAAAGTTAAAAGACTAAAGAAGTCACCTTAATACCAAAAAAAAAAAAAGTTATACAACTCATTAAATGCATTTAATGATAATTAAATTATCTAAATTGGTTTAGTAGATGCTGAGATATTATCAAAAATAATTAACTAATTATATAAAATTTTATATAAATACATTATTATTTATATATATAATCAACCAATTATTTTTAATGATATCTTAATATCTACTAGTCTAATTTAGATAATCTAACTATCATTAGATATATTTTTATAAGCTCTATAACTTTTAATTAATCAACTTAGACTGTTAACTTAGTGTAAAAAAAAGTTTAAATAAACATATATTATATATTTATAATAAAATATAAATTAGTTTACAATGTGACAAATTTGAATTTATCACTTTGTGATCAGTTCATAGAGTGACAAATTCGAATTTATCACTTCATAAATTAATTTTACAATGTAACAAATTCGAATTTATCACTTTATGAATTAGTTTTACAATTGTAAAACTAATTTATGAAGTGATAAATTCGAATTTGTTACTCCATGAACTGATTCACAAAGTGATAAATTCGAATTTGTTACATTGTAAACTAATTTATATTTTATTATAAATATACAATATATGTCTATCTAAACTTTTTTTTATACTAAGTTAACAGTCTAAGTTAATTAATTAAAAATTATAGAACTTATAAAAATATATCTAATGATAGTTAGATTTTCTAAATTAGATTAGTAAATATTAAGATATCATTAAAAATAATTGGTTAATTATGTATATAAATAAAAATGTGTTTATATAAAATTTTATATAATTACAAAGAACAATAATTGATAAATACATTAATCGTTCATTAAGAACACAAATAATTGTAATGGAGGATTTTAATAATATACCTGATCATAAGCTAAATAGATCAACAAACTCTAGGCAGAAATTAACTAAACAATATTTCTTACTTAAATGGTTAATAAGACAAGACTTTAAGGATGTTTATAGACTTATAAACTCAGAAAAAAAGAGTTTTCTTGGTCAAGTAGAGAATTGAAATCAAGAATAGATCAAATTTGGGTTACCGAAGAGTTGGCAGATAGGTTATTAGATGCAGAAATACAAGAAATAGAAATTTATATGAATAGTGATCATTGATTAGTAATAGCATAAATTAATTTAGAAAATTTAATCGAACTATATAATGTAGCTGAAATTAAAAAGAATAAATATTATAGAACAATTTTCTTATGGGAAAAAGCAATCAAAGAGGATATAGAAAATTATAGAAAAGAGCTAAACTTACAACTAAAAAAAAGAATTCTAATAGAGAAACTACAGCAAATATCAAAAAGTTTAGATAACAAAAAAATTATAAAAAAAAACCTGCAAAGCAAAATAGATGTTTGGTGGAATATTATATTAAATAGAATTCAAACAGCAGCAAAAAAGAATTTGCCAAAAAAAAAAATATTTAATATAGCAAAAAATCGAAAAAAGAAGGCAAAAGAAGCAAAACTTTCTAAGTTACTAACACAATTGGAAAAATAAATTAGTATTAGGAAAATAAATATTAAGATTGGTTTATTAAATGAGAATATAGAGAAGCTGAATTCTGAACTACAGTATATCAATCAACAAGAAGGAACATATATAGATACAACACAAAAAGAATAGTCATAAGAACTAATTGATGACTTAAAAGATTAGTAGAAGATATTCTATATAAGAAGAGCAAGTGAAATTGAGACATTAAAGTAGAAAGAAATTAAAGAGTTTACAAAAAAAAGATGTCAGATGATTGTTAGAGATCAAGAAAAAATGCTTAAAAGTTTGCTTAATAAATTAAGTAGAAAAATACAAATAGACAAATTAATTGTAGAAGAAAATAACTAAAGAAACTTGTTTACTGAATCAGCAAAAGTTTTATCTAAAACAAGAGATCATTTTCAAAACCAGCTAAGATCAAGACAATTCAACCAAATCTTGTTTAAAAAGAGTTAGACAAAAATATATAAACCCAAGAATATAATAAAAGCAGAGTGATATTAAATCAGAATATCACAGATAAAGAATGAACAGAAATGTTATTAGAACTAAAGAAAAACACTGCTTTAGACATAACAGAAATCATATACAGTCTAATTTAAGTAGCAGATAAGCAAACACAGCAGTTCTTTAAAAAGTTTGCAGAAATATGCATTAAGGTAGACATAGTACTGTTAAAGTAAAAAATATTACAAATATATCCAATTTCTAAGAGTAAGAATTGGCATTATAGCCTAAATAATATAAGACCTATTGCTCTACTAGAAACATTTAGAAAGTGTACAACCAAAATCCTTACCAAGAGGCTATCTAAAGTTTTGTGTAAAAGAGAAATACTAAAAGGACCCAACTTTGCAGGTCTGCCAGACAATTCAACAGAAGAGCCAGTTTATATCATTAATGTGATAATGAAAAACACAAAAGACAACAACAAAGAATTATGGTTAGTACTACAAGATATGAAAAAAACTTTCGATTCAGTATCATTAGATGCACTAGAATTAGCAATTAAGAGAATTAAGATCCCTACAATCACAATTACATTTATTTTAAGTTTGTTCTACAATAGACAAATCAAAATTATTACACATTAGGGCACAACAGACATAATCGAAATTAATGATAGAATAAAGCAAGAAGAAGTTTTATCTTCTCTGATGTAGAGAATTTTTTATAATCTATTTTTGAAAAGAATACAAGAGGATCTCAGTTTAGGATATACAATATCAGTATTAGTACTGTACAATTACAATCAAAAATACTTAAAAAAAACAGAATAGAGACAAGCAGTAGTAGCCTTTGCAGATGATACAATCTGAATTGCAAGCAGCCAAGCACAAATGCAACAAACAATTAAGATCGCAGAAGAATTTTTTAAAATGAATGATATACAAATTAATGGAAAAAAATCTAAACTAATTATCTTGAACTTAGGAAAAACAAAGGAAAATAGAATAATAAATTTAGAAAATAAACAAGTTCAAGAGGAAAGTACAAATAAGATAACAAGATTTTTAGATGTTTGGTTGAATTGCAAATTAAAAGATTCTTTGATTAGATTAAGAGCACAAGAAACAGTACAAGCAACAGTAAGAAGTCTAAACACCAAGAGAATAATAATAGCACAGATGTCATATATAAACAATATATGAATTATATCAAAATTACTATATGTATTACAAACATTGAAGTTAACAAAGGTGATAGTAGATAAAATACAAAGCTCTTTATTAAAAATAACAAAAAATAAAGGGAATTGCTATTTACACTATGGATTTTTATTATTCACATCATGGTAACTAATGTTATGAAAAACTACTTACTCTAACTTTAACTAATTCTGATCATGATATACATATTATGGTGTGAATAGCAAAAATCTATAGTATGAATAGTAGTTCCCAAAATAAATTAGAAATAGCAAGCACAACAGAAAATAGTACACGTCACTCTGGTTATATCAACAGCTGGATTAACTGACAATTGGTTATATTGACTCTTTTTATAAAAAATATTCTAATATGTAAAAAAGATTTGGCTATACTGACAATTATAAGAATAACCAAATATACTGACATAACAACCTTTTTTATATTTTTAGTTATTTAAGTTAATTATTTATACTAGTTATAATGACACAACTTAATATACTGACTGTCATTATAAGTATGTACCAATTAAATTACTTGCTTTTTTATATATATTCTTCAATACTAATTAGGTAATTCGAAAGATCAAAATAAGTTGCTATTGTAAATATTCAATTAGTTTTAATCTGCTTAAATTATCATTATCGTTATTATTATGTATTTAATTAACTAGCATAGTACTAACTAGGAAACTCTTTAATATTAATATATTCCCAGGACCATACTAAATTTGGGAGGTTATTAAATGATTGTTTAAGTGTAACTATGAAGATAAAAATAATGTAAATGCTTGGTAAAAAAGTTTCATGTATACAATTTATGTAGTAATAAAGAATAAGAACACAATTTTATAGATAGAAATAGCTAAATACTAAATTGTAAAATATACTTTTGTAATGTAAAAATTCTTAATGAAATAATTGCTAATTACAAGCACAGTTTTAGATTAGATTCGGATTCATATAAATTATAACCCAATAACTTATTTATAAAAGGAACTTGATACTATTAAAGGTATAGAAAAAAAAGAGAGTTAATAAAGTAAGCCTATAATTAAACAAAAATCTAATTCAGGATTTTTAATCTTATAAATTCTTACCCAAATCCTAGTTATATCTTTAATGAATTGCCTCATATGTGTATTAGTAGTATATATATATATTATAAGTTATTTTCTGGTTTCGTTGATTTTTTCTTTATAAAACAATATAACAATATGTCTAATAATGAAACTAGCTTTACAAAATGTAAACCTAAAGAAAAAGTCAATTCCTAGCTATCTAAAAAATCTCAAAAAATTTTAACTGGCAAGCAAAAAAAAGAATTATACCAATTAGCAAAGGACAACTCCAATTTTACTCAACAGGAATTGGCAAATAAATTTGGTAGTATTGGTCGGTCAACTGTTGCAGAAATTCTTTCACAAACATCATATTGGCTTGAATTAAATGAAGAAAGTGCTATAGCATAACAAAAATGTAACCGATCATCTGATTATTCACAATTAAAACAAGCTTTTGCTCATTGGTTTGATCTTGCACTAGAAAATAATATAACAATAACTGGTTTAATTTTGCAAGAAAAAGCTAAACAAATTGCAGTAGCTTTAGAAATTGAAAAATTTAATGCATCTGATGGCTGGTTACAAGGTTTTTTTTTTTATTTTTAACTCTAATATTAGAGGTACTATAAAGCATACATTAATATTACTTTTTTTTTTAATACAAAGTTTTAAAAAACAATATCATATAGTTTATAATGTAAAAGTTGGAGAAGCAGCTAGCACACCTATTGATAAATTACCTGAGTTTCGACAGTCTTTGCAATTAGAGTTAATGAATTATGATCTAGAAGATATTTACAATTGTGATGAAACAGCTCTTTATTGGCTTTTAGAACCATCAAAGTCTCTTACATATGGTTGTGTAGCAGGTGTTAAAAAACCAAAAAATCATATTACAGTAATAGTTGCATGTAATGCACTTGGGGATAAATTACTGCCAGTTATTATTCATAAATATCAGAATCCATATGCATTAAGAGAAATAAAAAAAGAAACATTACCTGTTCAATATTATTGGAATAAAAAAGCTTGGATGCAAACTTCAATTTGGCATAATTGGTTATCTAAATTAGATCATCAAATGTGACTTGCTTATTGAAAAATTTTATTATATATAGATAATTGCTCTGCACATACTATTGAAGGTTTAAATTTACAAAATGTTAAAGTTTATTTTTTTCTACTAAATACTACTGCATGATTGCGACCATGCGATGCTGGAATTATTTATTCTTTTAAGGTTAATTTTTAACTCTTTTTTTATTTATATAAATAATGCTAAGTAAAAATTTATTGTAATTTTGCTATGTCAAA